CGTCGCCTAAGTGTGTCGATACAGGTGGGTTTATTGAAGCGTAATCATCTCCACCAGGGATACCAGATGCCGTATGCAACTCTCCTGTCCTGCAATCTGCCCCCTATTCTGTTTCCTATCCCCTTGTCAATTGACCGTTGCTAAACATAAAAATCACTCTATTTCGTTTACGGTTATGAAGTATTGGTAGTTGAATTTTTTCAAAATAGTATGAGCAGAGCTGACGAGTATAACTACCAGTCCTACATTACCTTAAAGGAAACAGTTTAAACACATCTGATATATCTGATTTACTGCTAGTCTTGAAAACCTACTCAATAAGCAAAATCATTGTTTGACTGTCTAAGAGCCTTCAATTCCCTCCTTCAATTACGCCATATTAGAGCAAGTAGCTTCTTTTTGCTACCTTCGCTGAATCGCCAAGTCTGTCCAGACAATACGCGAGATTTTCGCAGGCTCTTCCCAACCCTAATCTATTATTAATCAGGTTTATTTGAAAAAAAGATGTCCACAGATTCCATAATCTTCCATCTCCTGGTGTTATCCCCCACATTAGGACAATCATTCCATTGAAGTCCAGCCAATTGTGTAGCAGGTCTTATCCGAACGATTTTTCTGCACAGCCGATGGTGTTCTTCGATCCTTGTGTTCATTTTTATTCCTGGATCTCCGATGTGTCTTAGTTTGCAGCGATTGTAGATTTGCTGAAGACTCTGGATCATTCTATTTTGTTATGAAATAATGATTCTGAAAAAAGATGCATATGCAACATGACCCAAGGACGAAGACATCAGGTGAGTACTGCATATAGGAATGTGGAGCATGTTACATATAATAAAGTAAATGATCATGTCTGATGTCAATAATACAACAGACAAGCAGGTTTAGCATTTGATGTTCTGTTTCATGATGAATAAAAAGAAGTTTAATCGAAGGTTTGAAGACCAAGATGGCGTGGTATTTTTGTGTGGTCACAGTCTCCTTTCGTTGTATAGAAGTTGTTTTCGTAATTTGGTCATACTTAGATGAACGCACCTAGTCCGGAGTACAATGTATGCATCATCATTTCCAAAGTCGAACCGTGGATGTGGTACATTCCCAGACGTTTCACCAGCATCGTAGTCAGCATCGTCAGTGAGTATCACCATTCTTAGCACCATACAACTACTCAAAAAGACAAATAAAGCCGATACTTTGAACAAACGTGTGCCCTGGCCTATTTACATTTCCTATATCCTCCTATCACGCCTTCAGTGTACTCCTCTGAGCGGCACTCAATACAAACCCTTCACACTTCACTGTCGTTCTTACCTCCTTCACCCTTGTGCAGGGAATGTTGATAAAAGTCTGTCATATTGTTACGAAGTCCTCATTTCTTCTTAGTCTCTCTCTTGCCTAGTAAGATCCGCCTGCCTTAGTCCTGGTTCACATATTTCACTCGACTCCTGCCAACCCATCTGTGCCACTCGAAGCGTTATTCGCTCTTCCCTGCGTCTGGGTAACTAATTTGAGGCTAAAGCCTCCGAGTAAGTCTCATGGTCACGCCTTTGCCACATGGAACACGTCTCTTATAAAACCTATTGTCATCCCACTAGCTCCCATCGCCGCCACCTTTATCCTGTCCCTATCCCTAATACCAAGTCTATGACTTCCCATGCCCTAGTCTCTTGTGTTCCAACCCACAAATGTTGTGG